ATATCGCGTAGGAAGGAGGCACTGGGCCGCGACGTCTTGTCGGCGTCGACAAGCGTGGCGAGTCGTAGCCGTAGCCAGCGGCATCACCGTGCCGGCAAGGCGCATGCGCCACGCGGGCGGCCCCGGCCAGGGGGCGTCGGCCTGTGGCGGCGCAGGGGCGAGACAGTCGGTCGCGCGCACCACCGAACGGAGCCAGGCTTCGGTAGGCGGGCGCACTGCAGGCACCAGCGCGGCGCACTTGTCGCGCAACGTGACTACCGGTAATACTTGCAAGTACCGACTACGTACATGTTGAAGATATCCTGACATGCTAGGTCAGAGTCAGGGGGACGACTACGTACATGTTAAAGATATCCTGACATGCTAGGTCAGAGTCTGGGTCAGAGTGGTCGTGTCTGGAACATTCCTTTCTTGTCATTATGAGACAAGTGTAAATTGTTTGTATCATACATTGGAAGACTTCCAAAACACCTTTATTTGCAAAATCCAGTTGTCATTTTTATTTCGTTTTGTGCCCTTAAAAAGTGATTAAAAATACGCTGTCCAGATGCGTCCAGATCGCGTACGCCTCCAAAAAGCGCGCGAATCGGCATCCAGTGTGCATCCGATCGCCAGATCGCATTATCTTGGTATTTGTATAGCGAATGGCTCACGGCGCTCGAAAAAGACAAAAGATTTCAGCAGCAATCATTTTCAATTTTGCCATGCACGTGGTAACGTACGTAGCGCGGGCCCTTGGAGCTGCATCCCGCCTTCGACACGAGCACGTGTGAACTCAAGGTCGTTTGCCGCGCCGTCTTCGCCACCGTACCTTCGACGCGCAGCCGCGTCCTCGCCCGTGCCGAGGTTGCGATGCTGCGATACTGCGAACGCCCGCTGCGCTTCCCGATGCCGCCGTGGCTGACACTATGCAAGCACGAGAACGCCCACAACAACGGTAGTTCCAATGCGCAAGGTGTCAGTCCACGCTCAATGTATTGCTAGGCTGGACCCATAGCGTCTCCGTGACCGGCGTGCTCTGCTTCGGGATCGATTGGACGATCATCGAGCCCAAGCACATCTACCCGGGAAGCTGAAACGACGGCGAGATAAGCCATGAGCTACAATTCAAGACTGTGGATCCGGCAATTTTGCCGGAACCGGTACGTGTTGCGGCGGACTCTGCGTTATCGACCGGCGGATCAATGAGAGCAAGATCATCACCCCGTGGAAGGACGGCGATATGGAGCATGCGGAGCGCGAGCACCGGCTCGGTTTGCAGGCTTGGAGTGATGGCATCACATCGGTTAGCTGGGTGCGTTGGGTGTATGCAAGTTGCGTGCTTTAAGCGTTGTTGAGTTTGAGAACGAGCTAGAGAAACGCAATTTGAACTTGGTGCAAAGGCAAGTTGCGTGCTTGTCGTGCCACTCTAGAGCAGAGAAACCTAGATAAACGCAACTCGGACTTGTTGGAATTTAGGTATGGATGAAGATGATGACTTTGTAGCGACGCCAGCTAGCGACGTCGGCACCTTTGCTTAGCCTCGTTCGTCGAATGCAAGGTTGCCGCCAAGCACGCGTGTCATAGCTGCGCGTTATGATAAGCATCTGGAACTTCTCGACATTGAGCGTCGCGGCGATGCACTCATTTTTAAGCGCTTCGCAATCGCGCTGTCGAGTCTCTTCGCGCATCGCGCGCTCTTCCTGCTCGCGGCGCTTCTCTATCATCGCTCGCGCTCGCGTTAGTCGAGCTCTCGCTGGTGGACCGCATCGCTCCCGTCGCGCATCTCCTGATGCCGAGCGTTCATGTCTTCGACGCGCAGCATAAAGGCGTTGTCGTTGGATGACTCCTTCTTCTCCGCGTCATCGATGAAGATTCTCTGGCTGTTACGCGCCGTGGGCGACATTAGGCCATCGCCAGACGCCATAGCCCGTCTACCTGGAGCAGCAGCAAGGGCTGAGCGAAGCTCCGAGAGCCCTTACAGCGTCGATTGGCGCGCGCCTGTTGGGCGAGTTAGGCTGCTGCATAAGTATCACGCACGTGAGTGTCATTGCGCAACCATCACAGCCCCTCTTCGCAGCCATGTTCGCATCGCATCCGCCGCGCTGCCGATCTGGTTGGCAGTCCTCAGATGTGCATCCAGATTGCACTTCTGCGAACACGATATTTTCGCCTTAGCAGATCTGGGCGAATAAAAATTCGCACGATTTTTCTATCCAGTTACGAACTGGATTTAAACTGGATTTGCAAATAAAGGTGTTTTGTATCATACATTGTTGTTGTTGAAGTGAGTCTATTTAGATATAATTTACACTGAACTGGATATGGTGGTGGACTATCGATTCCAAGGTGCTACGACGAGCCGGCCGCCGAGAGGTTTAGCCGAGCGGGAGACGTGGCGTGTAAACGGCACATGCCGGAACAAAGTTGTCGCGTAGCCATGCGTCGTGCCGCAGGGCTGCCATCATTTGGAAGAGGCACAATGCTTGAGTGTTCAGCAGCAGGTTGTATCATACATTGTTGTTGGATCGGTGTAAAAGCCACCGTTGAAGTCACGAAAGATCGACTTGTGTTGGGTTTTGTGTGTGGGGGTTTGTTCAGTATTGACAAATACTCGACCATAGTGAGATCCAGTAAAACGACTTGCACAACATCGTTGGCAGCGTGGGATGTGCCATTGGATGTAGCCACCAGGTGCCAGACATGCTTGAGTAGTCTTTACTCGATGGCGTGCATCGTTTCGATGGCACCGTGGCGCTTCTTCTGCTACCTCAACCAGGAGTCACAGCTTTTACATTGCACGCTCGGTC